GTATACACTATCCTTTTCAGCCCCACATATGTTGGGTATGTTGTTGTTGTTGTACTAGTAGTATAGTGGTGGTAGGTAATAGATATATGGTTAATTAGCTAATGTGCGAGTAAGTTGGCTTGAATATTGGGCGGAATTTTTCCCTATTTGACTAAACTTTTGTGGTTATGAGTTATTTGTTACTTGTATTAGTAGGAGATAGTTATTTGGTAAATTAGGTATTGTTTGTGTAAGTTGGCTTGAACACCACTAGAGAAAAAATAAAAATAATTTGAGTTCTTGCAAGTTGTAAATGTGATGTTATTAGTGTATTTATATCAGTATTTTTGTAACATATCTAGGGTGAATATGTGTCATAAATTTTAAATGAGGTATTAACTTTAGAATAATTAACCTAAATAGTTGCCCACTCAACCATTTAAGTTAAAAATAACCAATGGATGTATGATGTATGTATAATCAATATATAATTAGTGTATACCGGCTAAGAAGATGGCTATTTTTCCTATAGTTCTATCGATGGTACGCATATATTGTCTTTTTTCATCTTCTTAAGCTGAGAGTCTTTTGGAAACAATCTCCCTACTCTCCGTGGTAGGGTAAGGTTTGTGTACACTTTACCCTTGTGAACTCATTGGGTGGTTGTATTTGTGTAAAAATCCCATTTTTCAATTAATTTTGTTGAGTCTGATGATTTGATCATGTTGAATGCAGTCATTGTGTAATGCATGTGGAATAAGGAGCAGGAAAAAGAGAAGGGCACTTTTGGGATTGAACAAAGAAGACAAGAAACCAAAAAAATCAATGGGATCTTCAAATAAAAGTGCTAGCCAACATCATAATCAGAACAATCAGAGTAGTAATAGCAGTACAAGCAGCAGTGAGGAAAGTACAACCAGTAATGCAGTAAAGAACAATAAATGCATTCCATTTAAAAAGAGATTGTTGCATTTTGGTAGAGAAGTAGCCTTACAAAGACCAAGATCAAGCTCTACACAACACAGGAGGAAATTGGGAGAAGAAGAACAAGCAGCATTTTTGTTAATGGCTCTTTCTTGTGGTTCTGTTTATGCTTAGAATGAAGAAAATAATTAAGGAAAAAAGTTGTACTCTTGGGAATGATTGTAGTACCTTTTAGCCTTTTTGGGCTGGTTGAGCAAGAAGGTAGGTGCATGAGTAGAATGTTTATGCTTAGAAAATGAAGAAAATAATTAAGGAAAAAAAGTTGTACTAATGGCAATGATTGTAGTACCTTTTAGCCTTTTTGGGTTGGTTGAGCAAGAAGGTTGGTACATGAGTAGAATCTTAAATGATAAAAAAAGAGCTTAATCAAGTTGATAGCTCTCAAGAATGTAGGGTTGTGAATTGGCCTATGTTTAATTTAATTAAATTTATTTGAACCTAGTTAGAGTTATTGGTTATGCCTACTTTGTTAGTATTGAAGGAAGTTTGCTGATCATATTATTAACCAATAAATGCTAGTTTGCGTGCATACATTTGCATTTAATGAACAATAATAATATACTTAGGGTTATTTTAGTAGGATTTAAGGTGATAATATGTACATAAATCTTGTTCTTTTCATATTGACGATAGAGAAGTTATTTTTGGTAAAAAAAACGCATAATTAGAAGAAAAAAAGTAGAAATAATAATTGAAGTAAAAGAAATAATAGATAATAATAAAAACCTAATAATAGGAAATACGAGAGAAACATAGTACTAATGGTATAGAAAAGAAATACAAATTTGAAAAAGAAGTATGTTTGATTATTTATTAACTTACTACCTTAATCTTTGATCTTCACCTATTTGTATTTAATCATAGTTACTTAAATCTAATAAGAATAATACAATTGATTATGCTACACCTAGGGCTGTGCATGGATCGGATTTAGCACATTTCGGATTGGATTTCGAATTTCGGATTCTAGAAAATGCAATTTGAATCCGATTCGAACTAATATTGGATCGGATCAGATCAGTTTTTCGGATTTTGGATCGAATTATTATGCATCAAAGTTGCAAACTCATATGTATATTTTCTTTGTAAAAGAGGTAATACAGTAAGAAAAAGGGAAAATTTCACATAAGAACAACTAGCTCCATACTTTTCAACTTTATAGCTCATATTTTAAATTACAACCAACTAGCCCAAAAATAATAAACTAATACCCAACATTCAACTCGAACGGATTCTCGAAATTACTATTTAATTTTTAAAAAAGATTGCTCATGCTTTTAAGTTAATTTTTGAATCAGTAACTGTGACTCAAATATTAGTTCAACAAACCAAATCTATTTGGGTGGTGAAAATTAGATTTTTAACAAGCTAAAATATGTGAATTTAAATTTCGAATTTGATTTTGTAAAAAATTTAGAGTGGATGTTATTTAGACTTGTTAGAAATAGTATAAGGAGGTTGTATATAAAATTTGAAGTCATTTAATGGAGATTTGGATTGGTTTTGAACAAGAATTGTAACTGAAAATCGTGGAAGAAGTTAGTCTACATACGCTTGTATAAGGTATATAAAAGTGTATAATAGTGTATAAGATGTGTTTATATACTCATATACACTATTAGACAAGATTATACAAAAAACTGACTTCTTCTTCTACCTTGCGTTTTCTCTGAAATTTAACTCAAATCTTGCTCAAATCTACTCCAAATCACTTCAAATTTAAAATTTGAACTCCCTTTGATATTTTCAATCAATTGGAACAACGCCCAATCCCAACAACTAACAAACTCAAAAAATCTTATTTTCGAAAGCATAGCTTTGAATGGCCTCCAATGATGGACTTCTACTCTTCAATTTTCTGACATTGTAAACAGGGGGAGAAGGAGAAAATACACGGCCCCTTGAAACATATGTAGAAGATGTAAGAAGAAGAGAGAGAGAAAGCAAAGGTTGTGAGATTTAATTCTATAGCTTTTAGAAGCAATGGTTATAAGAACACATATTTTGAATTTGCTAATGCTTTCATGTACAATATGGGCTAGGTAGGGTAAAACTTAAAAATATGGGTCATTTTTTGTTATGGTGTGAAGTCATGTGTATTTTCTTGTAATTCTTTCTAAGAAAAATTCATGTTTCTGCAATTATGAGAGTACTATGGTGCCAATATAATTAAATCCATCAATTTTAAAGGTAATAACTTGGAGAAAAATGTAAAGGAAGTACTAACTATCCGAAATTAAAGTTTAGTATTTACACAAGTCCTAATAATTTTGGATTTCGGATCGGATCAAATCATATTAAAATTATACCAATCCGAATCTGATCCGAAATCCAAAATTTTAATAAACAACAACAACAACCCAGTATAATCCCACTTAGTGGGGTCTGGGGAGGGTAGTGTGTACGCAGACCTTACCCCTACCCTAGAGTAGAGAGTCTGTTTCCAAATAGACCCCCGACATCCTTACTCCAAGAACTTCCCACCTTGCTCTTGGGGAGACTCGAACTCACAACCTCTCGGTTGGAAGTGGGGGTTGCTTACCATCAGAGACTGTTAATAAACACAATTCGAAATCCGAAATTGAACGGATCGATTCGGTTCGATTTGGATTTCGGATATCCGATCTAAATGAACAGCCCTAGCTACACCTGTTAGTTAGCAAATCGTTTTGTATTCGCTCTAGATCCTAATGAAAACTTTAACCTAAAGTTTAATACTGTAGATTATAATTCTAGACACGTGAAATCTTTGCTAACAAACAAGACTAATTTTTTCCACAATGGAATAAAAGGTAAATTTAAAATATTTTGTGTAATAGAGGGTTAAATTTGTATTTTTACCTTTATTATAGCATTGCAAAAGACATTTACATGTGAGTTGCATAGTAAAATTTGTCTTATTTTGGATGCATTCGTCACGTGTTTAAAGCCAGCGAGAGTAGCATATTCCCTTTCTATTTCTAGTTTGTCATTTCTCTTTTTGTACTCTGCTGACGCACACTAAATTTCCAGCTCATTGTTGAAAATTATTTTGTGATTTCCTATTTCTTATTTTTTATTACGAATAAAACTTTGAAAAAAGTATAAAGAAAGAAGAGAAAGATATATAGGGAACACTTTGTTCACACTCATGGGTCGTCTGGTTGGGAAAAAAGTTATCACACCTTTTTATAGGAATAAAAAACACTACAATCTCGGGATTAGTTATACCACGATTTTATCCTGACCAAACATAAGATTAACTCATCTCAAATTTAATCCCGATATTAATTATTCCTTATCCCTCCTACCAAATGAGCCTTTAATATGAACTTTGAACCATCAAAGGATGTGGTGCAACGGATGAGGTCGCTCTTCCCTTAACCAAATGTTTCGAATTCGAGCCTCGGATATGGAAAAATCCATGGTAGGGAGCGCTCCTCCCTCCCCCCCAAATGGGGCCCTATGCGGCGCGAATCCGAATATAGTCGAGCTCCAATGCGGGTACCAGACACCGGATGGAAAACCAAAAAAGAAAAAAATGAACTTTGAACACCAAAAAAGATTATGGTAGTTAGGATATATTGGAACCCCTCCACCCTAAATCAGAAGTCTCAATTTCGAGCCCTAGAAATTAAACAAAATAGCGGTAGAAAGCGTTTTCTCCTTTAATAGGTTTATGTGATACACATTTAAACTAGTCGAGAATTTAATGTGGGTACCAAATATCGAGTGAATAATAAAAACATAGACATTTGTGTTTTCTTAGCTAAATCAAACTTAGAACTAAGGACTTACAACAACAACAACAGCAACAACAACAACCACCCAGTATAATCCCACTTAGTGGGGTCTGGGGAGGGTAGTGTGTACGCAGACCTTACCCCTACCCTGGGGTAGAGAGGCTGTTTCCAAATAGACCCCCGACATCCTTCCCAATGTCCTTAGTGCTGTACAAAAATAGCTAAAGAGCAGAACATATATTATAATATATACATCTCAAGTTGTGAATCTGCTCATCTAAAATAAAACACACAAAAAAAAGATGACACCAATGATTAGATAAATGAGCAACTAAGGAAGTACTGGAGACTTGTGCTTTGTAGCAATTGAAATGCAAATCTGTACACTAAGATCAATCTGAAAGTGAACCAAAAAATGAGAATTATTTTAGTTAGAAATTTGGTATCTTTACAAAAAAAAAAAAAAAAAAAAAAAAAAAAAAAAAAAAAATGCTACGTTGCTTGAGCGCTATAGCATTCAAAACTTTGCATGCATGCATTGGCAAAACCATGTAGCAGCACCTTGTTCACATTTTACATTAGAAGATTGTCTAATGGATCGTCATCATCGCCAAACGCAGTTTCAACTGTTCCAATGCTTTGTTGCTGTTGGTAGTACAGCAAATTAATCAAAATCAGTGAAAAGGCAGCAGCTATTAGCTTAGACATTGAAAATATTGAAGCGTGTGTATTTAAAAACCATCACTTTGTCGCTTAAAGCAATAAAGATATGTGAATTGAGAGATTGCGCTTTATATCTGAAGCCATGTGCTTCAGAGAAGTGTGCACTTCAAACAATGACGTGCAAAGTGATCCTAATGAGAAGGAGTTGATTCTTTGAATTTTAAATTTGAGGAGTTGGATTAATATCGACATCATTATAAATTGGGCGATAATATCAGTTATTATTAATTGCAATTTGATTATCAACAACAACAACAATATATTCAGTATATTCCCACAAGTAGGATCTGAAAAGGGTAGAATCTACGCAGTCCTTACCCCTACCTTGTGAAGGTAGAGAGGCTGTTTCCGGAAGACCCTCGGCTCAACAAAGCAAAATCATAGCATTTATGACAAAGAGCTACCGAAAACGAAATAGTAACAACCATAAACTATAAAAACGAAGCAAAGGAAACATCAAGTAATAGTATCGATCTAAAAATTGAGAACACGAGGAATTTGATTATCATGATACCAAATTCATATATGTTTAATGTCTTTTAATTTCCTTAACTCGTGCGCTTCACTTCTAGCTTTTCGCTTATATACCCCTGGACCTTGTTGCTTCTTTGTACTTTTCAACTTTAAAAAATATTGATCTTTTTAAAGCAAGGTGAAGATAACAAACTATTTTCGAGGGTCTTCCAGGAACAACCTCTCTATCATCACAAAGTAGGGGTAAGGACTGCGTACATACTACCCTCCCCAGAACCCAATTGTGGTAATATGCTGGGTATGTCGTTGAAGATAACAAATTAAGACTAACCTGCTCGAAAAAGGCACTCATGAGGTCCTCCTGTCCAAATGGCTCACCTTCAAGAAGTGAGTTAAGTTGCGATCCGCCCATAAGATTAACGTGTCCAGTTTCTTGCCCGCTAGAGAGAACTGCTTCCGCAATAGGAGCATTTGTGTTCTGTCCACTCTTGTCCATTGAAGAAATCCGATGTTGTATACTAGAATGATAAGAGGTATCAAAGGTTGATCCAACATTCTGTAGACACCAGTCCTGTTTCGTTTGCTGATACAATCCGCTGAAACTATCGTCGTTAGGAGAGAACCCTCTAGATCCTCTAATGTCAGTGTTAACCTCTTCCTTAAGCATCCCTTTTGTTGCCAGAGTGGACATTGCTGAATTGCCACTCGCGGGAAAGCTGCTTCCTCGCAACTGCATGTTTTGGTTCAATGAGAAATCTACTGCTGAATATGCCTGTGAAGCCTGATTGTATATATCACCTCGTGCATTGTCCACAATACCATTCCGTAAGGACTGCTTTGGTTCCACGGTTGTTGGGATTCCGTAAAGCAAGTTAACTTGCTTATTGCTATTGTTCAGCTGTTGCTGAGTTTGAAATCTCAACTTGGGATTTTCAAAGCTAAAATGGTTTCCTTGGTCTACCAGGGGAACATGTAAGGACGATTTTGTTGCAGACTGACCCAATGCCGCTCCCCAGAGGGTAGCAAGACTTTGTGCAGGAAGTTGACCGTTAAGCGGTGTCCCAAAGGTTGCTTCTGAGTGTCCGATGAAAGAATAATTCAGTCCACTCGGATGTTGTGGTACACCCATCGACTTCTTTAGTAACAGCCGATATTTCTGCAGCAAATGATTGGTGCTAAATAAGTATTTAATCTATCAATCGACCACACCAGTAACAAGTAGTTTAAACTAAAAGTGGTCTAACTCTCACACCCATGCATATCCCAACTTAATACAAGTGTAACATCAATGACTGAACATTAATACAACTAACTGGTGTCGTCTATTAAGAACCATTTACTCTCGCTGTGTTCTATTCTAGTTATTTTCGCGGTTATTCCTAAAGAATGTACATTGTTTGAGGAAACTTATTTTCATGTGGTCTTTAGGTTTTCCTAGTCACCTTTAGCGCTATAATCACCATCATTTCGACTTGCTAACTAGAGAAGATATCAGGGAACAACTCAATTGACTTACATGTTGCACGACATGAGGCCGTGCACCAATGAAACTTCTTATGTATGTTACTATATCCTTTGAAGGAGTAAAAATTAAAGATTTGCAGTACCTGAAGATGGCTAGCAACATGTTCTCTTTTTAGCCAAGGAACATTCATCAGTTCCAGAATTTTCTTGGGAACAGCTCCTGCATTCATAGACAGAGCTGAGACGAGATATACATATATACATGAAGATAATATTGACTGTTAATTAATTGCATAGTGGAAGTCTCCACAACAAATTTAAGGTATGCAACGACTGAGAGGAGCTACAAGTTTTGAACTAAAGCCTCACTTAAGGAATATCGACCATTACAGTCAGTGGAATCGAGCGAGACTAGATTAATAGCCCGTTTGGCCAAGCTGCAAAAATTAGCTTATTTTGAGAAGTGCTTTTTTTCAAAAGTGCTTTTCTCAAAAGTACTTTTGGTGAGACGTAGTTTGTGCTTGGCTAATTAATTTGAGAAGCACTTCTGAGCAGCAATTAGTGTTTGGCCAAGCTTTAAAAAACTGCTTCTAAGTGTATTTTTCTCAAAAGAGCTTTTCAAAAAAGTGCTCTTGGAGAGAAGCTACTTTTTTCTGCTTCTCCAAAACTGTTCTCCTCAAAATCACTTTTTTTCCTTCCAAAAGCTTGGCCAAACACCTCACTTTTTGGCCAAAAGTGCTTTTGGCCAAAAAAAAGCTTGGCCAAACAGGTTATAATGTACAAAGTAAAAGAAGCAGAAAATCAGGTAAAGGACACACTGTTGAAGAGGAATGACTAAAAATGAGGTCACTAACTCGGAGACTAGCAACAAAACGGGGAAGAAGAGAGAAGACATAAGATAAGACAGCAACTTAGTTTTTATACTAAATGTTACAACTGGTAAGAACTCTTTCTATATCAGGTAAAGGTAACAAATTTCTACCCACTTCTCCAAGTAGAAAACAACCATGTAAAACTTCATAACAGGGAAATATTGTTTCATTGGTAAGTGTATAAGTAAATTCCTCTTATAAAGAAACCAACGGGATGCCACATATCACAAAAAGGGAAATGTGTTTAACATATTAAATGGAGAAAGATGCATGTAAATGCATAAATAAAATCCAAAAAAGGAAAAGACTACACATTTGGTATAGATTGAAAGAAGCAGAGAATACAAGTTATGAGAAGCAAGATGTGATGATGAAGATATCAGAGCCAAATCTCCCTCAGTACGATGGTGGGGCAAACCTCAGCGAGGATGTTGCATTCCTGGGGGGAGGGTGAATGTGATGCCCATGACGGAGGGCGGGTCAAGCAGGACTGACATGCTTCTAGGTTGGCAAGCTTACGAAGAAGGGGTGCACATGTCACCTTAGGCAAATCCCACATCGAAATGGGAGAAGAAAGTGAAGAGCTATATAAGGCATGACACAAGTTCACATGGTACGCGCGCTTTTGGGGCTCGAGGTGGCGTAGCCCAACAAGACAAATCCGTGCGGGCCTAACTCCAAAGCGGACAATACATACCATGAGCTTGGGTCGTGACAGAAGACTCATGCGAAGGACTTTGATCTCTGATTCAAACATATTCGACGACCAACTCAGAAACTGAGAAAAAAAGGAAGACACTATAGTCAGCAATTGAACTGAGGGGTTAGGTCAGCTCCTAAGAACACTTTTACTAGGTCTGAAGGTGACAGATAACACACGCTTCACTTCGCGCAAAATGACCAGATATTTGGAACAACATAGAATCACATTAACAAGATATGAATCTAAATAAATATCTAAAAGAAAGGTAAATGGCTCATACTGTCCATTCCGAGTTGATTAACAGCTTGTAGAAATTTTTCATGAAGCTCCGCTGACCAAAGAACACGTGCTTTCTTCAACGCGACCATATCATCCCTTTCTTCAGTTTCATCTTCCTCCTTTCTTTTCTTCGACCTTTTCAAGTTCCCTTCATTAGCTGAAGATGAGTGCTCAACATCTTCTGGTGGTTCCTGTGGCCATTCTCCATCTTCTACACTTTCTGATTGATCAAAAACCTTGCCCTTCCACTCGTCCTTATTTTTTCGAACCACGTGCTGCCAAATGTTCTTCAGCGCCTCAATGCGTACTGGTTTGATCAGATAATCATGTGCACCATGAATCACACCTTTCATAACCACATTTTTACTATCATCCGCGGACATCACTATTCAATAACAAATGGAAGTTTAAAGTCCATTGATTAGTACAAAAGTCAGCAGTTTCTAAACTTAGGAACAACAACACAGTTTGTAATACACGAAAACAAGATACTCACTTATAACAGGCAGGTCCATCTCCAAACCAATGTGCTCAAGAAGCTTAAAACCATCCATGTCTGGCATGTGGACATCACTTATAACCAAGTGAAATTCGTTTTTGTTTTCGCGTAGCAATGACAATGCAACCTCTGCTCGATTACACGTGGTCACTGGAAGAAACCATTAAATTGAAATGAATTGCAAGGAGAAGATAAGAAAAGAACAAGTTCTTCAGTTCAGGATCAACATATCAACCAACCTATACATGTTCCTTGTATTTTTTCCTTTTGATTTAAGACTCAGATTAACATTAAAAATTACAACTTGGTAAACTTCAAGGGTCTGTAGAAACATGAAAAAACAAATCCTGGCCAAAGTCTTTTTCCAGCATGAATTCTCAACATAACTATTTCCTAAATCACCTAAAAATCGAATTTTCAGAAACTTACTACTCCTACTTTTTAATGGTTTAATTCTGCCTTCTTGTGAGGTTCTTCACATTGCCGGTCTCAAATCTTGATAAATTGCAGTAGGTTGACGGCTAGCACAAAGCTGGTTAACTTTTGATGAATCCTACAATTAATGGCGGATGGAGCATACATAAGACCGATTCAACTGAACCCAATATTTTAGTCACAAAGTAAGTAATCACAAAATTGTCAGAAAGTTATTTTGAAATCATAACTTCTAAAGTGTAATATAGTTAAGTGGTAAAACCTAAAGGCTGAATCCATCAAATTTCAATCCAGAATGTCCTCTGCCTACTATTTACTAGTTTGGAATTGGGGCATCGTGGTAGTTCCCCTCTTTTTTTTTCACTTCCACACAGGGTCCCAATTTTGGGCTCCACTAATCCGGTTTCGACTTTGGAGATACAACGTTTCCTACCAAAGACAACTCTATTTCCATGGCTTGAACCCGTAACCTCTAGTTAAGGATGAAGGTATGAGCGAATGTAGAGTTTGGTCGCCGCGTTCATCTGAACCCTGTACTTCCAACGCGGAACATAAATTTATGTGTAAAAAATCATCAAAATTTGCAACAAATAACAGGAGGTCTTATTACCCCACTTGTGCTCTTTAATGGCTTATCCCCTCCTTCAAATTCCTTAATTCAACAAGATTCAGGATTCCTAATAAAACCAAAAAAAAATATTTTGGTTTCCCACCATGTCCGGTATCCGCATTGGAGCCCGAGTATATCCGGATTCGCGCCGCATAAGGCCCCATTCGGGGGGAAGCGCTCCCTACCAAGGATTTTTCCATAACTCGAGACCTCTGGTTAAGGAGTCTGGTTAAGGAGGAGCAGTCCCATCCACTGCACCACGTCCTTTCGTGGTAAAACCAAACATACTAAGTAGATAACGCATCCAAACATACTAAGTAGATAACGCATTCATTATTTTTCTCCCTAAAACTCAGACTCAAAATGAAAATAAAATGAATAAAGACTTGAACTTTATACAAATATTGCATGAAAACTTTAGAACAGAACATTGAATACCTTCGTAGTGGCACTTCTTAAGCATATTTTCCAAGATTTTGAGACAAGTAGGATCATCATCTACAACCAGTAATCGTAAAGTCGGAAACTTGATGGAGGACATGGGTTCCTTCAATAATTTTCAAGAAACTTACATGGAAAGTTGTCACTACAACACTATAGGCATAGAGGGATTTTTGGTTTCCCGGCGCGATATAGTTGAGACCCCCTCTGAGGCCAGGCCCGACTAATGGGACTAATCCGAGTAGGTAAAAATGTCAGCATAGCCGCTCTCTTAAATAATAGTCAAAAAAATATATATTTATTTATATACAAAAAAAATATATAAACTTTATATATTTTTACGATTACCATTTATTAGTGCCTAATTTATTATATCTATTAATACCGACGTTTATTAACAAGTTTTTATTCCACTGTTTTTTAGTGTTTAATTTAGAGTATATGGGTAGGCTTGGAAATTTGGAGTTGATTGCTATATATCACGAACGTGTTATACTGATACACAGTTAAATGAAGAAGCTTGGTGGAGATGTACGTAGTGTTTGCGCGATAGTACCTAACTGTTGGAGTCAGTTAATTAGACGGGAATTTATATGTTTTGGGTAGTGACACTTAAGTCCTCCCTATAGTTTATTTCATACTTTCAAAGGTTACAATTAGGCCCCTATATATATATATTTCTGTACCTCTGCAGCTGAAGGGATCAATCAAGAGAATATGTCTTTACCCTAATTTCATTGCTTTTTCGTTTATCTTTTGCCTTTCTTTTACTGTACCATTGCGGCTGCATCATATACTAGAAGTAGTAGTTCCATCACCAAAGGATGTGGTGCAGTGGATGAGACTGTTTTTTTCCTTAACCACAGGTCTCGAGTTCAAGTTCTGGGTATAAAAAAATCCTTGGTAGGGAGTGCTTTCCCCCGAATGGGGCCCTACGCGACACGAATCCGAATATAGTCGGGCTCCAATGCAGGTACCAGACACCGGGTGGGAAACCAACAAAGATTTAGAAGAAGAAGTAGTAGTAGTTCCATTATTTTTTCAATTTAAAACACTTATTCAGGATTAAATCTAATTAATTTGAGGATTATTAAGCTAAGTCAATATTCTGATTTACTAGTTTGACTAAAACTCTTTTTTATGATCCGAAATTTTAAATTTTATTTTTATATTTCATTTAAGTGATCATAAAAGTTCATTAATGACTTTACTAAATGTAATTTTTTAAATGTCCTTAAGGATCTTCGTACAGATTAGTTATATAAATTTATAATATAAAGATTATTTCTTATTGTTTTGCTAGAGATATGTTTTAAAATATTACTTTCAGCTAGAGATATGTTTAAGATATACTAAAATTGTGTGAATTTTTTTTAACTAAATTAATTTCCTTAAAACACATTTATTATTTTAATTTTCTCCCTAAAACTCGACTCAAAATGAAAATAATAAGACTTGAACTTTATACAAATATTACATGAAAACTTTAGAGTAGAATATTGAATACCTTCGTAGTGGCACTTATTAAGCATCTTGGTTTCCCTTTTTTGGTTTCCCATTGCTACGTAGTGCTTCCATTGAGGCCCGATTAATAGTGCTCCTTCTGAGGCTCGTCTAATGGGACTAATCTGAATATCTAGTTTATTTTATTTATTAATGAGAAAAATAATATTGTATAGTCGCTCTCAAAATAATAGCCAAAAAAATATGCTATATTTTTTTGGTATATATACACATTTTTGTATGTTATATACAAAAATATGTAAATATTTTTGGTCGCGTGCTAATTTTTGCTCATTTATTAATACCCCATCTTTCTATTTATTAATGCCTAGTTTATTCTATTTATTAATGTTTATTCTAATCTAAGGAGTTTTTCCCTCTGTTTTTTTAGTGTCTAATTTGGCGTATATAAATAGACTTGGAAGTTTGAAGTTGATTGGTATATATAAGGAACGTTTTGTACCATTTTCATTAATTTTTCAATTTAAAACACTTATTCAGGATACAATCTAATTAATTTGAGGATTATTAAGCTAAGTCAATAATACTCTTCTTTTTTTATGATTCCAACACTTGATATTTGAATTTTCAAACGATCATAAAAGTTCACTAATAACTTTAATAAATGTAATTTTTAAAATGTCCTTAAGCATCACGCAAATATTAGTTATATAAATTTGTAATATAAGGATTGTTTAGTTTTATATATTACAAGTTAGTATTTAATGAATAATTTAAAATATGCGTTTACTTTTTAAATAGAATAAAAATTTATTTACTACTATAACTGTGTTTCTAATGACGTGTAATTAAAATTGCCCAATTCCCGGCTGAGATATCTGATAAGGTTGTGAAAGATTTTATAACTACAAAACGAATGACAATGACAATGAAAATAAAAATAAAAATAAAAATAAAAATAAAAATAAAAATAAAAATAAAAATAAAAATAAAAATAGAAATAAAAGTAAAAATAAAAATAAAAATAGAAATAAAAGTAAAAATAAAAATAAAAATAGAAATAAAAGTAAAAATAAAAATAAAAATAGAAATAAAAGTAAAAATAAAAATAAAAATAGAAATAAAAGTAAAAATAAAAATAAAAATAGAAATAAAAGTAAAAATAAAAATAAAAATAGAAATAAAAGTAAAAATAAAAATAAAAATAGAAATAAAAGTAAAAATAAAAATAAAAATAGAAATAAAAGTAAAAATAAAAATAAAAATAGAAATAAAAGTAAAAATAAAAATAAAAATAGAAATAAAAGTAAAAATAAAAATAAAAATAGAAATAAAAGTAAAAATAAAAATAAAAATAGAAATAAAAGTAAAAATAAAAATAAAAATAGAAATAAAAGTAAAAATAAAAATAAAAATAGAAATAAAAGTAAAAATAAAAATAAAAATAGAAATAAAAGTAAAAATAAAAATAAAAATAGAAATAAAAGTAAAAATAAAAATAAAAATAGAAATAAAAGTAAAAATAAAAATAAAAATAGAAATAAAAGTAAAAATAAAAATAAAAATAGAAATAAAAGTAAAAATAAAAATAAAAATAGAAATAAAAGTAAAAATAAAAATAAAAATAGAAATAAAAGTAAAAATAAAAATAAAAATAAAAATAAAAATAAAAATAAAAATAAAAATAAAAATAAAAATAGAGTTTAATTTCAAAAATGCTCTCGTTGAGAGTCGAACTCAAGACCTCCCGCTTACTAAACGGGTGCTCTAACCAACTGAGCTACGAGAGCCTTATGTCATAATAGTTCAGGATTTATTATAAATTAGACATATACAAGTATATAATAACATCCATAATGTTCACATTGAATTACAAGGAGTAAACTTACCTAAGCTGGAGATATTTTTTTAACCTTTTATGCACAAAAAATATACTCCATTAGACATGAACTACATTATAGCAGCAAGTCAACATTTGATATGGCATTTTTTAAAAATCTCCTTTTACTTATTTCAATTATGATGTTTTAGAGACTTTAAAATATATTCTTTAATCAACAACCTACTTCACTTCAACTCAATAAATGACGTCTACTTCGTAAGTGCTAAGGCAAAATATATCACCGAAAGGAAAGGTGATAGGGGAGCCTAGCCATTTCACTCTACCCGAGTAATAAAGTAGAAACCCCCCTCACGATCGATTAAAAGGAAAGTCACCAAGAGATATTTGTTCAAATCCAATTCGTGATGGTAAACAACTTCCACTTCTAATTAAGAGGTTGTGAGTTCAAGTCATCCCAAGAGCAAGATAGAGAGTTCTTGGAGGGAAGAATGCCGAGTTTCTATTGGAAACAGACTCTCTACCCCAGGGTAGGGATAAAGTTTGCGTACACACTATCCTCCCGAGACCCCACTACTGAGATTATATTGGGTCGTTATTGTTGTAACAACCTACCATCAGTAAATGCATGTTGCTTTGAAAATATTTCCCTAATATGTTTATTTGACTTACTGATACGCAATTTCCAAGGACAGTCTTACAAAGTAAGTAATAACATATTATAACTACAATTTTCTTAAATTTATTTTTTGTTGAATAACATTGCCTCCAAATATAACTATTTCAAAGAAAAGTATTTCTTCCAAAACAAAATTCCTATGATATTTTTTAGAAACTCCTTTTAGTTGGGGTGGGAGGTCGGGGTCAACAAGCTCTTTTTAAAAATTCGATAATTAAGTATCTGATATTTGTATTAGAACTCCGACTAATCCGAATGCATATCGCGAATGACTTATTAAAGGGGAATAGATAGGTAGAATGCCTTTCCTCTTGCGAAATTTCGAGTAAAAAAAATAAAAATAAAGAACAGAGGAGCCCGATGCACAAAGTATTTTGCGTTCACATAGTATCCGTGGAAGGCCCTGTAACCAAAGGGTATATGGTGTAGACAACCTAACTTAATGTAAGTACCACTGAGTTGTTATTGTTGCTATGATTGTTTTTACGGCTCCAAACCGTGACCTATAGGTCACACAAAAATAACTGTAAGAGATCTCGAGTCCGAGTCACGAATTTTTTTTAAAAGAAAAAAGAAAAACAGGATAGACCAATGCCCAAACTTAGGTAACAAGCTTCCATAATTTCCAAGAATATACACATCATGATGAGTCAATGACTCAATTCTTCTCTGCCAAGTGGACAGTGGTAATTTCGCAATTAAATCCAAGTTCAAGCCTTTATTCATAACCCAAACTCTATATAATTCCCCAGCATTTCCTAGTGTCTCTCTTAGCTAATTCTCCTCCCATTTCCACGAAACTTCGCGAATTTTTTTCCCATTTTCTCCTTAGGGTTTTGATCAATTTCCATTTTGGTACCATAAAGTTCTGATCTTTGAGCAATTTTAGTATCAGGAAATGCACAATTTCTTCAAAATTTTCTGAGGATTTTAACTTAAAATTTGGTTAATTTAAAGGATAATATAAATGGATTCTGATCCTTGGATTCGTCTCTCTACTTCTTCACGACGTAATCAATCTCGTTCAGGTCAGTGTTATCTCACTTACTTTCCTCTTTAAGTTTAATTAGTACTCCACATCTCATTTAGGCGTCACTTTCCTTTCAAGTTTGTTCAATAGAATGTTACATTTATATATATATATATATATATAAATAATCTAAATTTAAATTCTGATTTTATCCTTAATATAATGATTTATAACTACACAAATGTTTATGATTTATTTTGGATCATAATTTTAAAAATTAGTTTTTTTAAAATAATATCACATAAATTGAGATAGAAAGAGTACTAAAGTCAAAGTATCTAATTATTTGTTTGAAGAATAATAATTTTTGGGATGAAGGGTGGTTTTAGTTTGTGAGCTGAGGTTAAGTGGATTATGTTTTGCTAGAAAATGAACGAATGGAGAAGGAAACCATACGTTTGCAATGCTGGGTGTTAGTTTCTGTTATTTAGGGTTTATAGTATTTTCTCACTTACTTTCCTCTTTAGGCATGCTCGGTACAATTTCTGAAAAATATGTGTTCTGAAGTATGAGTGTCAAAAGTAGCTCATTTTCGTTTTGAAGTACTTAAAATGATTTCTTTTTATGGTAAAGATGTTTTACAAATATTACTCGTAAAAGGAACATAGTTCGACTCTCATGTAGTAAAAGGGCAACCCAATGAACGAAGCATCCGAGTTCACGTAGGGCCCGTGAAAGTGCTGTGTCCAAGGGAGTGTGGTGCAGGCAACTTACCACAAGGGTCATTGGCTGATTACATGGCTCAAACCCATGACCTATGGGAGATAATTTTACCGTTGCTCCTAGGATTGTTTCGGCTCCCAAATAGTAATACAACAACAACTATCCAGTAAAATACCACTAATGGGGTCTGGGGAAGGTAGTGTATACGCAGACCTTTCCCCTACCCCGAAGAAGTAGAGAGTCTGTTTCCAAAAGACCCTCGCCTCAAGAAAACAAAAAAGACAAAAGGAGACAATATTAGTATCACCACAGAAATCATAAGAAAAATAGGAACAACATGAAATCTAGAAGAAAGATGCCAAGCAAAAGCGATAGCTAGTAAATAGGTCCTGCACTGAAAAGCGAACTCCCAAATAATAATAGTGTTTTCTTTTTGGCTATTTGGATGAAGAGATAGTTTGTGAGCTAAGGTTAAGCGGAAGATGGTTTGCAAGAAAATGAACAAATTGAAAGGAAACTTACATTTGTATTTTTCTCCCATTTGCTTAATTACACCATTTATTTCCTGTTTAAGCTTGCCCAAAATAGCGGGTTCAGAATACGAAGTCCATGCATCTAATTTTTGGTGATTTTGGGCATTGATTGTTTATTTCGTTTAATTCACAGTTTTTTCAAAAATTCTGTAATAATACTATTTTATTCAGGAAGGAGTAGTTAGTTTGTGAGATGAGGTGAAATTCGATATGTTTACCCGATAGAAAGAAATAATGCAAAGGAAATTTTACATTTGTACTGCGGGGAATATGTTTGAGTCATGTTATTATGTTTCGTAAGGTCCTATACTCTTTAGGAGTCTTTTATCCCTGTTAGAACTGAGAATTTTATGCCAGTAGGAAATATAGAGAGCTTTTATTACTTTTCTTTTTTATTTTTATTTTTATTTTTATTTTGTATAATGTTGGCCTGAATTTAAATGAGGAAAGATAATCAGTAAGGATTCATACGGCCGACCCCTACTTGTTTGGAATTGAGGCGTAGTTGTTGTATTGCTGGTTTTTTTGTTTTTGCATTATGGTTTGTTGGATTGTCGGAAAGATTGTTTATGGTTTTTGTAATTGAAGTTGGGGTGTATTTGGTGTATTATGCAGACTTCTATAATATAGGAGAAGAGTATGAGGGTGAAGAGGAGTCAAGGCCGGAGTTTCTATGCCCGTTCTGTGGTGAGGATTTTGATATTGTTGGCCTTTGCTGTCATATCGACGACGAGCATGCTTTTGAGGCTAAGAATGGGGTACAATATCTCTACAACTCTTAATTTTCTTGCTTTTCCCCCCCTTTTGTTCGAATATCATATTGAGTTGAGGCATAGCTGAATTAATTGAACTATCATATGTGGATTGTAAAGTTTTTAGCACCTAGGACTGTCTTATGTGCACGTTGAAGTTTGGGACTTTATTAACCTTCTAATTCTACTGCTGCATTTGACTTTCTCTAGTGTGGTTTAGCTTATTTTTCTTTTCTCTATTTCTTGTGCTTTTTTTTTTTGGGGGGGGGGGGGGGGGGGGGGTCGAGATGGGTTGCAATGTGAAAATGTTGACCTTTAGCTACATGAAATGATCCTTTTCATTCAGTATGTCTATTTTAGAGGCTTCGAACTTCACAAATTCAGAGCTTCAGGATACCAGTTTCTAGTTTCCCTTATACAAGTTTAAAAAGGATTTGTCTTTAGCCTAGTGGAAAGGCTCCTCCACCTCCTACCCTAAGGTTGAGTATTCGAGTCAACAAGGGGGAAAATCGGTAATGGACCACTGTTGACTCTTGATAAGAGAGTTTGGCTGTTGGGCGTGCTATATTAAGAGAAAGAAAGTCAACTATGATTTAATTGTCACTCTCATAGTGAATAGACTTAGAAGTGCAACCTGATTCTAGGGCCTAGCTTTGTTAGGAGATGCACACAGGAATATTAAGCTTCTTGATTTCTATTTGTGTGAGCTTTGGTCACATTTGACCAAGATAAATTATTAACAAGGTAACACCCTTGTGCAACTCCACTAGCTAGAGATATATAAACTGGAAATCCTGGGAAGCACGTCTGATACAGAAAGGCTAGCCCCTCATAATTTGGGGTATTGAGAATGATGATCTGGACTTGTCCATCATGGGAGTCAAAGATTCCTTAACGAGGGTAGCTCATTTCTTTCTACTTGGTACTTTACTTTAACTTCTAAATTTTGGCTTGGGAATGTGAAGTAAGAGCTGACGCAGTCTCAGAGTTCTGTGCGGAATTGATGAGACAAAGGAGGAGATATGTTCATTCTTTGCTGATTTGTCTCCTCCCCCCCCCCCCNNNNACACAAAAAAAAAACAGCAGAAAAAGAAAGTAGCTAGGGTTATTTTGTGTTTTTAGTTGTAGCATTTGTATTACATTTTGTATTGACAGACATCACCTTCACATGCCTTTTTCCCAGAAAAAGATACTAACAATTAGGACAAAGCTTTTGTTTTAATGACGCGAACCAAAGTCAGATAGTGACCAAACTAACAGAAGTTTATTGTCCATCATTATAATGTTTAAATCTACTTAAGATTGTAGACCTCTTATTGTGAACTGTGTGTCAAAGTAAAATGTTGATATCTGTAAATGCCAATAAAAATGACCAAAATTGATCCTCTGGCACTCTGACTTTTAAATGTCAGTTGAAAATGTGTATGCTGGTTCATATATCTGAGTTAATCGATGAGTTAGATAACATATCTGTAAATGCAGATATGCCCTGTTTGTGCAAAAAGGGTCGGGGTGAATTTGGTTGGGCATATTACTCAGCAACATGGAAATATTCTAAAGGTATCCTTCTGTTTTTCATAGTTGACTTAACTGGGATTTGAATATGAAGCCCTTTCTGTATCTCCTTTTAATATTACTGTAGGCAATGTATAAGAAGTCTTGTTAGAACTATAACGCATTTCACTTCTGTCTTGATTTTACTGCTGGGCTACGTAAAGTTTGTATGTTGCGTTGACTGTAACAGGTGCAGCGCAAGAGACGATTTCGAAGGGGTGGATCTAATTCAACTCTTTCTATTTTAAGAAAAGAGCTAAGAGAAGGAAGTCTACAATCCATCCTCAGGGGATCCTCACACTTGGTTTCTTCCTCCACTACAGATCCTGATCCCTTGTTATCTTCGTTCATTAACAGTTCGGCTTTGGTCGATGAACCTCCCGAAGTTCAACCTCTGTCCCCTGCTAAAGCATACTCAACACAAGAAAGCACTGTTGATAATTTGTCTGACAGGTATGGCAGCATTTTTTACACTTTAGTTATGTCTCCATTATTATTGCATTTGATGCTGGGAAGTGATGAGAAAGTGCGGTAAAAGGGGAACGAAGTCCTTAATAACTATGTTGCTCGGCCTCTCCGAAAATTTCGGCGGGTGCATGTCCAATCCTTCAAAAGTAGAGTATTTTTTGAGGATCCGACACGGGTGTAGCAGCATTTTGGAGAGAGTGCCAACATGACTTAATAATGTAATGCTTCTATGAACATGTGCACAACCATAGTTGGATTTTCATGTTTCTCTGACCATAATTCACTGGATTTCTTTTCTTCGCGTGTCTGGTAATGTTCAAACGCGTGGTTGAGTTGCACATAACTTCTCATTTTCCTTGTCGTGGTTGAAACATAGTTTTACTACTACCATTATTTTCTTAATGGAAAGTCATTTTAAGCAAATTCGTTACACCTAATTTTTTTTATTTTTTTTTGGTTACTCCTAATTTATGATAAAAATATATACCTTTGTATGTTTAGTATGCCTTCCCATCCTGTATGCTCTATTTATCATTTCTCAATAGTCGTAGATACTCCTGTAGAGTACTGGCCTATGTTTAGAACAGGCATTAGTCATGAGTTTCGTGTTCGTTATTGAACGTTGTAAATACACTTGACAATATCTAGCGATGAGTATGATGCTCGTTTTGGTGTTTTCTATTGACTATGTCTGAGATCATTGATCTTAGTGTTATTCTGAACAGAAATCTTCAGCCATCTCCACTATCTGAGGAAGATCAAGAAGAGAAGGCTAGAAAAAGTAAGTTTGTGCAAGGGCTTTTGCTATCGACTTTTCTTGAAGACGACTTCTAATTTAATAGAGGATTTGCATGTCGTAGCTATTATATAATAACTTGTAATGTAGCTCGGTGAAAGAAAGAGATGCTGCCATTCTGTAGTAGTTAGGTCAAGATGAACTCTGAAAGTAGTCCTCGTGTATGTAGTTATGTATGTATATAATAAAGACTGTATTACTTTTCCACGTTCGACAGTATGCAATATATTTCTAATTTAAGAGTAAAACTCACCTAATAGTATAGCAAGGTCTGCTTAAACATTACTGTGACCCTGTTGCTTGGCCTTGGTTTCTTCTCCAGTGGAAAATGCACTTCAGATTAATAACCAAAATATAGTCTTCTCTCCTTTCTCGATAGCGAAGTAAGACCAAGCTCATGAGCTTATAATCTTAGGTCGGAACAAGTTGATAGGACCCTCTTTTTCATGTTCCCATGTTCCCCCGTGTGGCGACATGGGGCGAAAAAAGGAAAGAGAGGGATGAGGTTTCTCTCGCTTTTGGCATAGCGGCCCCAAGTGGGAGGCTCGCACGACAGGTTATTAGCTCAGTGGTAGAGCGCGCTCCTGATAATTGCGTCGTTGTGCCTGGGATGTGAGGGCTCTCAGCCACATGGATAGTTCAATGTGCTCATCGGTGCCTGACCCTGAGATGTGGATCATCCAAGGCATATTAGCATGGCGTACTCCTCTTCGAACCGGGATTTGAAACCAAACTCCTCTAGAAAATTCAGACTTTCTTTTTGTGCTACGATCACATCAAAACATAAGCTTTGGGGCTCAATAACCAAGTTGTATCCATAAATTCGGATCTTAATTTGAAAGTTATATTTAGATGCGACTCAATAGCTAAGTGTATCAACAAATTCAGGATTTAATTTGAAAGTTATATTTAGATGCAGCCTTTCACATATCACCTGTCAAGGCATGACATAGATAGTTAGACGGTCAGCTCACTTGCTAGCTGCCAGTAACAAGTGAGTTTGTCCCTATGAGTTTTGTAGTGAAAATAGCACGGTGTAGTTAGTTTTCGGATTGGTAATCGAAAGATTATCAGTATTTGCAAAGTCATTGTAAAATAGTCATTGTTTTGCTGCAACACGGAAAGTTTCAGCATAATATGCTGGATTATAGAGCTCCTCCATTTAAACTTCTCGCATATTATTTGGAACTCCAGCATATTATGAAATTCTAGCATATTATACTTGAATCTTATATGTAAAAAATTCGAACTCCAGTATATTATGTTGGAATTTTTCCGAATTTTTAATAGTGTTTTTGTTCAGATTATATCGTTACATGAAAAAATGACTAAATTTTGATTACTTTAAAACTGTGGCTATTCTTTAATTATCAGTTGTAAATCTGGCTATTTTTAAAATTAACTAGTTTTACGCTTGCCAATTTACCACAACTCCTCCTTTGTTAGCATGTAATAATATGAGGGAGCTCACACAGACCGAGTAAATTCCCTATGAGCAGTGGTGGATCTAGAGGGCAATGTGCGAGTTCCTGGATTGCACAGTCCTTGTATATATATATTAAAAAATTTATTAAATATCTATAAATATTTAATTGTCAACCCAATTACTAACTTGAGCCCGATCATTATAGAAATTCATAAATTTCAAAGTCTGGAATCGCCTAAGTTGGTCAACTAAAATCTCCTCTTGAGCTACTAATCACTTCTAGAAGAGAGTACACAGCAGTCTCATTTAATGCAACATCAACCTACTGAAAAGGGAAATGATCAGGACCAAAGTTTACTTTAAAGAGTCAAAACTTCATAAACCGTATAGATAGATAATATAGCTTGACAAAATAGACCCCGTGGTAAAATCATCATTTCAATAGAAATTAGGAAAAGCAATTTGTTTTTTCCTTATCAGATGTCGAGAGTCTATCGGAAACAATCTTTATATCTTTTCAAGGTAAAGTAAAGCTGCGTACACCGTACCCTCTCCAAACCCCACTTATGAGATTACGTTGAATTATTATTGTTGTTGTTGTTGTTGTTGATGTCAAGATTAACTTGCTTGTTATCTTTACTATTTGTTAGATACCTACTATTTTTCATCGACACAAGTAATAAATAATTTTGTCGTAGATTATCCACAAGATAGCTACCTCCTATAAATATTATATGTACCGAATAATTCTCCCCATCATATTTAAGCATATGAAAAAATCACCTATCTTTTTAAATGTTTCATAATTTTCATCTTACTTTATTAACCGTTAGACCACGCTTTAATCCGTAACTTCACTTGTATTTAAGAGATTTCAACTCAATAAAAAAGATGACAGGTGGAAAAGGAAAATGTCGGCATGTTTAGTTGAAAAAAAACTTGTACTGTTATTTTCTGTGGCACATTCAAGATCGTATTCATAGTAATAAAAAGTTTGGTCCTGGCTAGCTGAAAAATTTGGTTAGTAGGGAATGCATGCATGTAAACGCCGCCCTTCATTAAAAGATTGTATGCTACTATATTTTTTGGGATCTTTACGTAAAATAGCTGATCATATTTACTGTTTACTTTTTCTAGCCATATACATAGATCATACATTGATTATATATGATTATGCACATATATTATATAAATCATGTATATATTATACCTCAACCGGATATTTTTAGTTTTGAGTGGTTAAGTGAGCGGCTATTTGGATTAATTATTCATATTTTTTTTGGTTTCCCACTTTGTGTCCGGTATCCTCTTTGGAGTTTGATTAATTTGGATTCGTGGTGGAAAATTCAATTTTGGAGTGTAAAGCTCTCCCTACCAAACAAGGGCGGATTTAGGCCGTATGGTGCACATGTACCCATGGTTTTTCCGCCAAATAGGTATTTTATGTATATATTTCATAAAATTGATCTAATATTATCTGTTGAGCCCCATGCTCCAAAAAAGTTGAATAGTGCACCTGGTTGAATTCTAAGTTATTCATCCAAAGGAACATGGATAGATTCTAGCTTAGCACTTCTTTTTTCTGGCTTTTTCAATGGTGCACCTATGATCTAGAAATCCTAGATTCGCCTCTGCTACCATAGGCGACTCCATACCCAAGGCTCGAAACTGAAATCTCTGATTAAAGATAGAGGAGAGTACTTACCGCTCCAATACAACCTTGGTGCCTCGTGGTAGGTTGTATAGTACACTTTAATAAACAAGAAAGCTTAAGCGTTAAAATTAACTTCATTTCTCAAGCTATAAATACCATCATGAAACAACACAATTTATACTACAATACACTCCAAGTTTTTTTAGAGGAAAAAAAAAATGGGAATTCTCACAACTACTTATGAGTTCACTACCCCAATTTCAGCCCCAAGAATGTTTAAGTCTTTCATTCTTGATGGAGAGAATCTTCTTCCTAAAATTGCACCTCAAGTTTTCAAAAGTATTGAGATAATCCATGGAGATGGAGGCCCTGGAACCATCAAGCAATTCAACTTTGCTGAAGGCAATATATTTCTTCTTTTTCTCTTTTTATTATTATTATTATTATTATTATTATTATTATTATTATTATTATTATTATAAAACCACACTTCTCTCGAGTATTTTCATCGATCTTGGCAGGGATGTGCTTGGTATGGCGTAAGTTATTTTTTAGGAAAATATTTTCGTGAGGAAGTTATTTTGATATCATAAAATGTTCCTTCAACTAACACTTAGACATTATTATTAGTCTCGAGCTGTGCAAAAACAAATCCACTCTTTACTATTAAAAATTTCATCAAAACACTTTTCTATTTGCTAATATAATTATTGGTCTTTAATACTACTTCCGTCTCCGTTTCAATTTATGTGAACCTATTTCCTTTTTGGTTCGTGCCAAAAAGAATGCCCTCTTTCCTTATTTGGAAACAATTTACCTTTATGCAATGATTTATAGCCACACAAAATATATGTGCCTCATTTTACAACGCAAGTTCAAAAGTCTTATCTCTTTTCTTAAACTCCTGCCCAGTCAAATGGGTTCACATAAATTGAAATGGAGGGAGTAGATATTTTTCGGAAAAGGGTCAAATATACTCCTATACTATCAGAAAATGTTTAAATGTGCCCCTCGTTATACTTTAGGTCCAAAAATATCCTTGTCGTTATACTATTGGATTAAATATACCCCTTTTTCGTTAAGTTTGTCCAAAGTGGACATCCAATCCTACGGGACACTAACATTTGATAAGGTGGATGCCACATGGCTTGGCACCTCAGCGCCACTAACATTTAAACCAATAGTATTACGGTAGGGGTATATTTGGACCTAAAGTATAACGAATAACAAAGAGTATATTTAAACTTTTTTTCATAATACATGGATATATTTGACCATTTGCCATATATTATTTTCAAAAAAATATTTTCAGGAAAATATATTTCATATTTTCTTGGATAAATAACTTCCTTCGTACCAAATGCACTCTAAATTAAATTGATGTCCCATGCATGCAGGTACGGAAATCAAGTTTGTGAAGCATAGGGTTGATGCAATTGACAAGGAAAAAATGACCTATGCTTCCACATTGATAGAAGGTGATACTTTGATGGACAAGGTTGAGTCAATTTCATATGAGCTGAAACTTGAATCCATGCCTGATGGAGGATGTAAAGGCAAAAACACTAGCAAATTCAATACAAAACCTGGTGTTGAGATTAAAGAAGAGGAAATTAAGGCAGGCAAAGAGATGTCTGATGAGATTGTCAAGGCTGTTGAGGCCTATCTCTTGGCAAACCCGAATGAATAGGTTTAATTAGCCGACCCTGACTTGTTTGGAACTGAGGTCTGAGGCGTCGTAATTGTTGTTGTTGATGTATGCTCCGGTTTGAATACTAGCTGTCTAGTATTCACTTTGTTTCTCCTTTGTTTAATTTACTACTTTTGTTGGTTAATAAAACTTGTGTTTGGTGTGAAAATGCATTTCTACACCACAAGGCACAAGAGTACTATCAAATTGTATTGAGGTTTTTCTTCGATTTTATTTTATATGCTTGACTTATAATTTAATGTTTATTTTAAACAAGCATATTAATGAGGTTCACGTTCTATAAATTCCATTCAAATGACACTAGGTAGCCACTCTAAAGGGCTGCTATTTAGGAATTAGCCAGTACGTACTGAATTTCAATTTTTCAGGACAAAATTGTCTTAAATAGTCCTGAAGTTAAGATTCTTAGTTTAAAATTTCAGGAGAAAATAAATACTAGTTAATCTCTAAATAACATCTTTGAGAATGCTATATGTGCACTTGCCCCATCAATTCCGTTCAAATGATCAGTCCAATACCATTATTGTATTGGGAAAAAATTGAGTCTGAATATTGAAGATGACGTGTCATGACACGTGGACTGGTCAAAAGGTCAAAACGCAATAAATAGCCAAGAGGCACGGGCGACAACAGATAGGGGAAAAGAAAGCAACATAGGTGTGGACCGTTACTAAAATAGGTACGAGTCTCGTACCTATTCGAGTCGTTTAAAGATCAAAGATCAGAAGAAGTTGAAGATACGAATCTGATGACGTAAAAGAGTCTAAATGCAGCATTAAATGTGAAATACGTTAGAGAATCTGAATTAAATAGAAATGATTGTGTAACGTTTCTTTTAAATATCATTAATTGCTCATAATTGCCTCATTAAGACAAAGACATTATATCTTCTCCTAGAATCAACTATAAAGGGAAAAGATTCAACATCTGTAAGGACACGAAATACTATTGAGATCTTACTGAAATACAAAACTATTTACTGCTTTACCATCATTCTCAAAAATATTTTATTTTCGTCTCCTGATTATTAGTAACCCGAATTTCTTTCTAGCTTTGACCAAAGACTCAGATTTTTGGTTAAACAAATTGGTTCCGTTAACGGGAATCTAATAATCTTTTCTTTTAAGCTACATCTTGTCCATTGTTATCACCATGTCAAACAACAACACCGACAATAACAGTAATAACACATTGGGACACCATGAAAATCAAATCCATCAAAATCAAGGTGACGTGGTTCCCTCCCCTCCAGATTCACCACGTCAATCTCGTGAAGGCACTCCTGTTACTGAATCCCGTGCTGATCAACAAGAACAATCTGAACACTTTGAAGGAGGTACAAATGAAGTTTTACAAAAGCTAATTGATGCACAGGTCGGCAAAGCTCTTCAGCCTCTAGTTAGTCGATTGCATGCTGCACCACCCACACCAACTCCTAATAATAATACATTGGAGAATCCCCGTTCTGGTCTTGTTAATTCTGGAAATGGAGGAACCACCAGTGAACCACAGGGAGGGGGACCAGGTAATTCAGATAATTCCTATTTGCAAAATTTAGTACTAACCTTGCAGAAACAGATTAAGGAACAAAATGAGCGTATTGAGTAAATCCCTAGAGTTCCGCCTGTAATAAAGGGGGTTGACATGGACAAATACTCACAACAACCTTGGAAGTCAAGTGTTGCTCCCCTTCCAATTCCGAAAAAGTTCAAAATGCCTGACATCCCGAAATATGATGGNTCATATATGGGACCTGCAGAAAAAGACCCACGGTCAAAACAAGATAACCAGCAATATGATCAAAAATCGAGGAACAGGGACTCTGGTTCTTCTTCGAAATTCATAAATGATCGGAACAGGCAAGACTCACGAGATGATGATAGAAGTTTAAAGGCACGGTTTGGCAGATATAACTTTAATGTCACTACCTCCGACCTCGTGGCTGTTTTGAGAAGCATGGGAGATAAGGTACGGTGGCCAAAAGAGATGCGGTCAAATCCAAATAGACGCAATCCATATCATTGGTGCGAATTCCACAATGATCACGGGCACAAAACTTCAGAATGTAGATTCTTGCAGAGTGAAGTGGATCATCTATTGAAGCAAAGGTACCTCACTGAGTTATTTAGTGAAAAAGGTAAACAAGTCTATATGAAAAATAGGCAAGAGCCACCAAAGCTTCCTTCACCCAAGAGAACAGTAAATGTGATAAGTGGGGGAGAAGATATTCACGGCATAACCTACACAGCCTCCAACAAGGTTTCTAAGGTAACAATTACACACGGGAAACGGGTACGACAAGTTTTAGAAAATGAAAGTATTTCATTCGATGATGCAGATACCGAAGGAGTGATAACTCCACATAGTGACGCTCTGGTAATATCTTTACTTGTACATGATACTAATGTAAAACGAGTTTTGATTGATCCAGGGAGTTCTGTAAATATTATACTACTAAGGGTATTACGTGAAATGCAAGTTGAAGAAAAAATGATACCCAAGGTGCACACCTTGTCAGGCTTCGACAATTCAAGTGTGGTAACAAAAGGAGAGGTAATTCTAACAACTTTTGATGCAGGTGTTGTTAAAGAAACTAAATTTCAGGTAGTTGATATGGAAATGGCCTACAATATGATCATGGGGAGGCCTTGGATCCATGGTATGGATGTTGTTCCATCAACTCTACATCAAGTTATTAAATTTCCATCACCGTGGGGGATTTGTCAAATTCGAAGGGATCAGCAAACAACCAGGAGTATCAACGCTGGAACAGATACGAGCACCGTAAACAAAGAAAAATAGCAATTACAGGAAACAGTTGAAGGTGCCAGCAATCAAACCTCAACTGAGTAAGAGAAAACAGATTTAGACTCGAGACCTAATACCATTCAAGAACCTGAGGAGAATGAAAATATCAAAACAACCATCGAAGAACTCGAGGCTGTGATATTATTTGAGCATTCGTCTGAACAGAAAGTTTATGTGGGAGCTAATTTAAACTCAAACATGCGAGGTATGTTAATTGAATTTCTAAAATCTAACGTGGACTGTTTTGCTTGGTCCCATGCTGACATGACAGGGATACCACCGGATGTGTTAACTCAGAAATTAAACGAAGACTCATCCTTTACACCAATAAAGCAAAAGAAAAGGAAGCAAGGGGCTTTCAAAAACCAGGTGATTCAAGATGAGGTCCAAAAGCTATTAAAGATTGGGTCAATCCGCGAGGTAAAGTACCCTAATTGGTTAGCTAACACAGTTGTTGTACCTAAGAAAAATGGTAAGTGG